GATGGACTCATAATTAATTAAGATTTGAACTGGATCCGCGTTAGGTTGAGATATATTGCGAGAGTCGTCGTATGCAATTACTCCCTATCACCGTCATGGCATTTGACTCTTAAGCATGAGAAAAGTATAGACTCTTTTATTAATTAATAATTACTTTGATTTGTTCGGCGGATTCTTCGGGATCCTTAGACCGACACTTCGGGTAGTTATGTAATTAATAGTTAGAGGGTTATATTTTCAATATTTGCATCATTGCTACTTGTATTTATTTTGTATTGATTATGGTTGATCACAAAGTAAATTCGAAGGCCTTCGTATGATTTTAGACAAAATGATTTATTATATATTTATTTATTAAATTATTATTTTTGTCGAACAAATGTTTTATTGTGATCGAGCCAGAAATAATCAAAGGTACCAAAATAAATATATTAATTAAGTAGTCGGATTGATGGCATTATTTATCCGATAACTAATTATGCATAGAGGGGTCAAAGTGCAACATTGACTTAGAGGTTATTTATTATTTAATTGGAGTTCAATTAATTTCTTTTAGTGGAGTGGAAATTAATTTATGAATTAATTTAATTGGGTTCATGGACCGGGCCAATCATTAATTCATTGTAGCCAATAAAATAATAGGCCCAATGGATTCTCACTCATAGCCCAACTTGATATTGGAATCATATTAGATTTGAGACATGTGAATTAGAGATTGAGAAGGATTAGTTGTTTCCTTTTCTTTACCTTTATGTTGCCTATAAATATACATGGGATATGGATATTTTAGGGGTGATTTTGATGAAAAGAAAAAAGGAATAAATTTTCTCTCTCTAGAAAATTAGGGTTTATGTTCTCATCTAATGGAGGCTCCCACAAGCCTAGTTTTCCAAGGTCATTCATGGAGGCATATGAGTGATTCCTAAAGGCAAAACAATTACCAAGAAGATGGAGATCCAAGGAGAATGCATCTTGCTAAGGGATCTACAATAAGTGAGAACATTCACTTTAGAGGAGAGATCTAAGGTTTACTCAAACCTTGATGTAAGTATTCAATCTTTTAATTGAATAATACATCATGTTTTATTTTTGCATGAAACTTGTCTCTATGTAATGAATCAAGATCTATGAATTTAAATCTCTCGAAAAGTTTTTAAAACTAGCACGTTTCCCAACAATTCTTGCCATTGATTTCATGAATTTTTTGAAGATAATGTAGCAACCATGTGTAACTACATATCATGGCCACTTATTTATGTTGTTTTTTTCCAAATGAATCATATTCTAGCATGGTTATATAGTAGGTGGTGGATTCACTTTCCTAATCCTCTCTTTAATATTTTCATCTCTTCAATTCCTTGAAATTATTATTTTATGCAATATTAATTCCAAATTCTAGTGACAAACCAACCAAAACTCTATACCCCCTTTAATCAAACCATAAGTGATTTTAGAAAACCTTGGTTGCCATAAACTAGTAATTCCAGTGGTTTAACTTACCCGACCAGTAACCCTATTTTACAATGATTTTATGCTATTACAAATGGTTGATTATTATTGTGATAGTCGACAAGACCGATCACCTTCAACAAAAAAATATATACACAGAAGGAAATTGTAATAACAATAACAAGAACATCGAAAACAACAACAATGACAACCACTATAAAAAGGATAAAATGACCAAGATAATTTTCCTCTTTTATTGCATTCCAGTGTATATATATATGTTAAAATATATGAATTTTTGTGAGACATATAAAAATATGATCATGTGGGAGTAAAAATATATCCATTCATATTATATCAGTAACTTTTTTTTCTAGTTTCACATTATTTAGTTGGATTAATGTTTCATTTGAGTAGTTTAACTCCCCTTAACAACAACCAAAACCATTAATTCTCAAATACTCTCAGGGTATGTTTGGTTTTTGTTGTTTGTCTGGGTAGTTGGATACCCATGATTCACTGCTCTTCTTTCCGTCGCAAGTGCCCGATTACTTTGAAACTTCCACCAATATTTCAATAATTTCTTTCCAACTCCAGTCCAATTAGAAACTTCAAGGCAGTATAGTTCACGGTACTTGCCAAGATCACCTTTCAATAATAGTTTAAGTAACTTCTGAGAGGAATTGTCTCGTCACATATATCACAAGTCACTTCAACAAAGATATGCCCCTTTTTAGCCTTTGTCACATTCATTGAATGATGATGTATTAGAATATTGGGAATGTGACATCTCAGTGGTAACATTTTCCTTTCATTCTTGTTATAGACCACTTAGAAATTTGACAAAGTTTGCCTTGACCCACTTTCTATACAAGGTCTCATTGATTGTGTCAAACCAATCCACAGTCCAAACATGACCCCGTAGTACTCTAACGCCATCCTAGTGGAAGACTTGTGTTTCCACTGTTGGGATTATTTTTACGTATAAACAATGAAAAATATTATTATTTAAAAAACAAAGCATGACGTTTATAAGTTCCTATAATTTGAAAATTTGTAACTAATTTTTGACTAATTTTTCTTTTTATAAAAATCTCAAAACACTTTTATATATGTTATGTTTGGTGGTATCGAATGGGCGCTTGGAATTTAGAATTGGAGAAAATTCAATACAAATTTTGGACGGTGGTGGTATCCAAACATCGTATTAATAACAAATTTCCCCCCTAGTGGTCATTTTAGGTATTTTAATATTTAAATTAAGAAAATGTTCTTATTTGCTCAATTGAAAAAATGTATGGGCTATTTGCAACACCAAAAGAGATTTTGCACATTTTGTATAGGACAGGGGGTTTATTAATTAAATACCAAATTTTTTATTTTTTATTTTGTATATAATAGGGGAGTTATTTTGCACTTTACCCTATATGTATATATGAGTCTTCTATGAAGTTGTCTTATTAATATATACCAGAGTTATTATTATCTTTTTTTTGTATTTAATTATTCTAATTTAGTATTTTTGTTTTTCATTTGAAAAAATTATCTTTGTTAATTAAAGCAATATCTAATTTGCCTCCATGGGCTTAGTTGTTGCGAAATTAAATGAAAAATACAATAAATAGATCAAACACACACACACAAGAACACACATATTTTACTTGGTTCACTTAAAATCAGGGCTACCTCCAAGGGCAAGCGATTGTAGAGATTTTTATTATGATGATAACAAAAAAGAGTAGCAGATATAGAGAGTTCAGAAGGAAGAAATATCCTCGTATTAGGGCAACATAACAAGTGATGAAATTACCAAAATACCCTACAAAAAATTCGGGTCGAGGGCAAGCCCCAGAACCCCACCTTCGGGTAGGGGGCTCTACCCCCTACAACCCCCCGCCAACTTATCGCGATGTTAGATTTGCGGAGTTGGAATTTGGTGTACAGTATCTATCAAGAAACACACTACTCATCAATAGTGGTGTTGCAGAGATCGGAGAGGTAAATCCTTGAGATCTCACTTTCGAACCGCACTCTTGACTTGAATGGTGCGTATACGTGTTTAAAAAAAAAAAAAAAAAATTTAATAATGTTGGTAAGGCTTTCTCCAATTGATACATTGAGACCTGTGATTTTTTTATATGTAAGACTAACCAAGGTTGTATTCTAATGGTACAATCTTTCTTTTGAAGTAAAATTTGAGGACACAAAGTTGGTTGAGTTTTTTGTCAAAGGAAAAAAAAAAAAAAAAATCTTTAAAATTAAAAGACAAGTATAAATGAAATTCTAAAAAAACGAAAGGAATTGAATAAATTGATCGCAATTATAACACTACGACAAACCATGACAAGTTAAAGCACATAATTTTTTTTATATCACATGTTAAAGCACATAATTTTTTTTAAAAAAAAAAAAATTACGAAGCCTGCAATAAGCAAAACAAAAAACCACACACCATATAACACAAAGATTTAACATAATTCGGGTACACAAAGAAATTTCACAATGCGAAGAAGAAAGGGCAAATTCATAAAATCCTAATCTCCAAATTTACCCTCTAGTTTCTCTCTCTATTTTGATCGGATTGACAAAATTAAATATTGCACCCCTAATCTTTGAAGACAAACCTCATACACAAATCGCTATCTCCACTAATTCTCAATTTCAAATTATTAATTGAATGAACTTCTGAAAATATTAAAAACAAAAATTTAATGAAACAATGCAAGTGTGAAAAAATTAAATTGCAAAAGTCTTCATGTCACAAATTCTAATTACAATGTTTGAATGCGGTGTGGTGTGTACATGCTAAAGTTTCCAAGTTGAACGACCCCATGAAAGTTCCTTGTTTCTTCAAATTTTCATAGTGATAAATTACATGCATGAACAATAACATGAACAACGGTCAAGTAAGGGTGGTTTTAAATTTCCAATTAATGTTGTATGTCATAAGTGAGAACAGGCTTCCACGTTACAGAGCACGAGAAGCGACCACGCAAAGACTTGGTCTATATATATATATATATATGTCAATATGTATATAAATTGTTAATTAGTTGTCATTCGTATTATATAAACATGTCAAGTACTTCAATATTTGTATAATTGGTTGACTTGTTTTACAAAAATCATAGATAATGTGTATAGTTATGTGAATTTTGTACAAAAATCAGAGATCACAATGACAGTATGACATATGTTATTTCATGTTTAAAAAAAAATTAATCAACAAAAAAAGAAGAAGAAATATATCAACAGTGGGCAAAACACTATTAAATATTAAAAGTACTATTAAACTACAGGCAGAATTACTTTCACAGTTGACCCTGTTCATATTAGCCAATATATATAAATTTATTTTTTTCAACTAAATATTTGGTATGGTCAAACAAGATGTCCTCCTCTTGGCAAATAATGACAATACTATTTTAAACAGAGAGACTTGGTACGTACATAGCCTGGTCTCGTTCTACATGTTGGAAGTTTATTTTTCCGTTTACGCTGTTTCAATGGTCAGACCGAACCTTAATTTAACTATGCACATGTTTGATCCCGAGCCCTATAAAATACTATGCCCTCCCTATCTCTCCAACCCATCATTCTTTAATTTGTTCTTGTTTCAGAGCTCTATAAATACTAAGCCTCTCTATATATCTCTCCAAGCAATTACCTAAAAATTTATACATCATTCATTAATTTGTTCTTGTTTCAGAGCTCTATAAGTACTAAGCCTCTCTATATATCTCTCCAAGCAATCCCCTAAAATTTATACATCTTGTTCTTATTTTTGTTCTTGTTTGATCTTCATTGTCTTTATCTCTATATATTTAAGTCATGGCACTAGAGACACCCATCTCTCCAAGGACGGATCTAATCCATGTCAACTCCATCAATCTGCCAACAACAAGCAGTTCACAAGTTTCCGATCACACCAACTCTCGACCACTGGAATTGTTTAGGATGTTGGAAAATGATGTGTCAAGTGGCCCTCCGGAGAAGAAACTAGCATGGTTGAGGTCTCAAGTCATCGGCAGTGATGTGGAGTTCGACACTCCTTTCGGAAAACGTAGGCTTACCTATGCCGACTACACTGCCTCTGGCCGAAGTCTTCACTACATTGAGAACTACATCATCAACAATGTTCTTCCATCTTATGGTTAGTTGTTTATCATTTTTAATATTAAATGCGCGCTAATTATTTTTACTAAAATAAAACTTAGTAAATGTATATATGATTCACGATTACCAAAATAATATTTTTCCATTTGTGTTAATAGGGAATACTCATACAAGTGACAGTTATGTGGGGCATCAAACCACAAAAATGGTGCATGAAGCAAGTAAGTACGTCAAGTCCTGCTTGGGGGGCAAAGAAGAAGATGCACTCCTGTTTGTTGGCTCCGGCACAACCGCAGCCGTCAAACGGCTTCAAGAGGTTATGGGAATTGCTGTTGCATCAACTATGAAGGACAGGGTGTCTATGAACCTGAGAGATGAAGAAAGATGGGTTGTTTTTGTTGGGCCATATGAACACCACTCAAACCTCCTCTCTTGGCGCCAAAGCTTAGCAGAAGTTGTAGAGATTGGTCTAGATAAAAATGGCCTAATCGACTTTAAAGCTCTAAGGCACCAACTCAAGTCATATCAGCTGACCAATCGCCCTATGTTGGGTTCTTTCTCAGCTTGTAGTAATGTCACCGGAATTTATACTGACACGCGTTCCCTTGCTTCACTCCTTCATCGATATGGTGCTTTCGCATGTTTTGATTTTGCTGCAAGGTACATACACAGTTCGAGTTCGTATACTTTTCATTGACTTTGCATTAATATTTCTCAATTGTTAACATTCTTTGCTTTAATTTATATGTGCAGTGGTCCTTATGTGGAGATTGACATGAGATCTGGGGAGGTAGATGGATTTGATGCGATATTTCTTAGTCCACATAAGTTTGTCGGGGGACCAGGTACTCCTGGAATTCTTCTAATGAGCAAGATCCTCTATCAATTAGGTTCTTCACCACCATCAACATGTGGTGGAGGAACTGTCAGCTTTGTCAACGGTTTCAATGAAAAGGTATTTAGTCATTAAGAGTTTGATAATTTTGTGAGTCTCTTTGTGCTATAATGCAACAAGTACACACACTTATAGGGTGTGTTTGAAAGCAAAAAATTTCTCAATCAAGTCATACTTGAAATGTTTTTCATATTATGATTTTATGGTTTCATGAATTACCAAGTTTGCTGAATATATCTCCGACATGGGTTGCAGGACACTCTGTATTACGAAGACGTGGAAGAGAGAGAGGATGCCGGAACACCACCAATTATTCAGAAATTTAGAACAGCAATGGCTTTCTGGGTAAAAGAATACATTGGCTATGAAGTGATCAAAATGCAAGAGCATAAATTCATAGAAAGAGCACTTGACAGGCTTCTTTCCAATCCAAACATATGGGTATTAGGAAACACTAGTGTGAACCGACAAGCAATCCTCTCATTCCTTGTGTTCACCACATCCAATTCCTCCTTTGTTGACATGAAAAATGGAAGCTCTGTCGATGGAAATGAGACGAGAGACCAAGGAATTTCCATTTGGAGAGAATCCGGGAACATCAGAGACAAGCCCCTTCACGGCCCTTTCGTTGCAAAGCTCCTCAATGACTTATTTGGCATCCAGGCTCGTGGTGGATGCGCTTGTGCTGGACCCTACGGTCATCACCTTCTCCATGTTGATGAGCATCACTCACTTGCCTTCAAATCTGCCATTCAAAAGGTACCCAACGCAATATTTATTTTATTTTTTTAAAATTGTGGACTCACTTACTACGTATTTTACACTCTCTAGCCATAGAAATTGATAAGAATTAATACATGGAGTGCCCAAAATATTCTTTCCAAGAAGAGTGTGATTTCATTAATTTTTCATAGATCCTAATATATGATAAATTTTGACAGGGTTACAATGGAATGAAGCCCGGATGGACAAGAATCAACTTCGCTTACCACATGACAGTAGAAGAATTTGAGTTCATTCTTGCTGCATTGGAATTCATAGCCATGTATGGCCAGAGATTCCTTGTGCTCTATGACTTCAATTGGAAAACTGGGAATTGGACTTTCAAGAAGAAGGCATTCAAAGAGATTGAGACAATCAAAGGATGCAAAGAAGAATTCAACAACTTGTTGATCACTCGCGCTTTCGAAGCAGCCAGCTTTGAAGACATCGAGGCAATTGCTGACAATAATACCATTGATATGGTCCAAAAGTATGTCTCTTATTTGGAGACTGCTAAAAAAATTGCTCATTCACTACCTAAGTTTCCTCCTTCTCGGAAGGTTCCAAAAGAGATTGATCTTAACCTAGTGCAATTTAGAGTTTAGTCTTCATCATGTCTATTTTTGTGTCTCTCTCGAACCTTTTGGTTTACAAAAATTGTTGACCTTTACTTTTGAATAGTATATTGTTATATATAGGAATTCTTTCATTCTAAAGACTTGTTTTTTTTGGTATCAAAATAATAAATGATTAAAAGAATTTGGAACATCTTGTTCCTTGTTTTTTTCCCTCTGATTTGTTGTGTGGTTTTTTGATTCCTTTCTTTTTTTGCCTTTTTTCATTGCATTATTTAATTCTCAAAAAGAAAAACAAAAACAAAAAGAAAATGCATAACAAGTATAAATATTGTAGTTAATATTTATCATAATGAATCTAATATAAATATTTACACGAGCTGACTAAAGATTAACCTGGAACAATTGTATATAAAATTGTTGAAGATTCAATCACATCACTGTGATTAAAAAATAAAAAGAACACACCCAATGTTTAAATCCTTAAAGTAATTATATAAATTTGGCCCACTAAAGTGGGTTTCTCTCTAGCCACACTAGACAACAAAGGTGGTTCTTGCCCAAAAAATTGGTAATTAGACGTAACATTGAAGACAAGGCTGGATTGAATACTAGGTGACTGAGACGGTGTCCATTTGAGGTTTTTAAATGTTTCCATTTTTTTTTTTTACTTTTTTTTCTTTCATGGCAATAAACTAACACACTCATTCGTGTGAAATGGAACTATAGATACCACATTTTGTACCACTCTTTACTTCCACAATGTTCCATCATTTGGACTTCATAAAGTCCATCAATCCGTATCCTAAAGACTTTATGTTCACCCTTGTAACAACCTAAACCGGAAGTCCGGATCGTTAACCGGGTCCTTACCCGAACCCAAGGACATACTAGGGGTAAACTAGTCTTTTTACAATATGAAAGGATAATCCATCCTTAAACTAGTCAAATGAGGTTTGAAACAACTATTCTAGTCGTTCCATGATGCTCGGTGAAATTCTACGGTTACCGGATATGAATTCCCAAAAACGCCCTTATGGGTTCAAGACAAATTCTGACACTGTTCCACTAAAACAACCATAACTCTCAACATGAATGGAATGTAGAGATGGGGTTAGTCTCATTGGAAAGCTAACTCAAAATCCTTAAAAATGGGCTCAATAATGACCCTATTTGGGTTCGGAACGAAGAAGTTATGACCGTCTGAAGTTAAGTGATCAAAGCTAATAAGCTGACAAGCAAAATGTGCACACTGGGGGACTTGAACCGGTTCCAGATGAGCAGTATGTCCATGTGTGAACCAATTGCACCCCTTGAACCGGTTCAATGGGGCTGAACCGATTCAAGATGGCCAGAATCTTGAAAATGCCCCAGAAACCTTAAATTTTGACTCTTGTGCCTATAGGCACCCCTTTTGTTCCCTTGGTGTCCTTATTCAAGTTCTAAACCGGTCCCGGTTCGTGCAATTAACAGTGTAAAAACATAATTAAACCCCATGCCTTCATTTAAACCAAATACAAGCCTAATACACCATTTAAAGACCAAATTACACAAATCTCATTTCTATACAATTTCAAAGGATTTAAATACAAAATTGAGGCCTTCATGGCCAAAATTACATAGCTTTAATAAAAAATGAATTAAAGTCCTAACTATATCAATATCCATGGATGCATAACATTCACTGGCTCATCTCCGAGTTCCTGAAAAATGTTAATAATGATAGGGTGAGCTCAACAGCTCAGTAGAGTAAGCCTAAAGTACATTCTTAAAAATCCCGTGAGCCACAACCAAAGAATGGGAATCAAAGAAAAAGGATCATGGGATTATAAGTCATACCAACCATACATGAATTTCACCAATTCACAAACCATACCATCAAACATGAAATGCAAAATATCCCCTTCTTTCTTTCTAACCCAGGCTCACTAAACCCTCCTAACCATCACATTGGCTTACCACACAAACCACCATCTCATTTTCTAACCTTCTTTCCCACATCAACCTTCATCCTCTCAACTCATCCCCATGCCATGAGTATGCATGTCATACAACCATTCATCAATATACAAGTCATCGTTTACATCATAGTTATATTAAAACATTCAAACACAAAAATTGATCACTTAAATCATACTTTCACATTTTCTCAAAAAAAAAAAAAAAAATAGCATGCTTGGCACAAATACAAGGAAACTATCATATTCTCAACTCAAGTAATTAGATCAAAATTATCTCATGCTTAACATCACAACCAAAATTTTACAACTAAGCATGTTTCACAATATTAAGATATTCATATGAGAAAATTCTTAGAACTCACTAAAATCATAGGAATTTATACTTTAAACTTCCCCTACCTCAAGATGATTAGCTAAAGAAGCCCTAAGCTTCCCAGAATTTCGAAATCCTTCCAAATGCAAGCAAGAGTGGTCTCAAATGAAAGCCTATAAGATGATGAACAACTTCTCCTCTTTGATCTTAACCAAATCTCACTCTAAACCCCAAAAAGATAGGTTGAAGTACATAATATATATAAGCATGCATATAGATTTAGAGAGAGAGAGAAGACTAGAGAGAGGAAGAAAATGAGTTAGAGAAAGAGGGGGTGTCTGCCGAAAATGGGGGAAGGAGGGGGTGTCTACCGAAAATGGGGGAAGGAGGTGGTGATGGCTTGATTTTTTTGTAACTTTATTTCCAAGGCCAAAAATGTGCCATATTTCAAAATTTGGTAGGTTACTAATATGTGCAAGTTACCATCATGCCCCTGTCCTTCCTCTACAATGCCAACTTTGTCCCATAAATATCTTTTTAATATATAGATATAGATGTATACATATATTTGAGAAAAGTCCATTATGCCCCTTTCTTAAAATGACAAAATCGGGAGAAGTTCCTGAGTCCGGAAATCGTCCCGACCTCCAGAAATTCTAAAAATAATACCGTCACTTCTAATTGACTTAAAATGGTTAAAAATATACTTCTAAAACCATCGGCTAAAGAAAATGACCGAAACGCCCCTCGGGGCCCGCATGGCACGTAAAACGAGGCAAGGATTAAAATAATCCAAAAAAATCAAATAAATTCCAAAAATTAAAAAATAGGGAAAATCAATAACATTACAACCCTAGAGGTGGATTTTGTTGCTCCTAATCATTTTAAGTCAAGTTCCGCCACCCGATTGTGAGATTGCCCTTAAATCGGGACTCAATTAGGAATTTTGGACGCTAAGTTTCTGTCTGAATTGGCATCAAGAAGTCCCAAAAGCTCCAAATATACCCTAAAGTTGTAGTTTCATCAATTCCCAACACTTCAAAACTTTTCCACCAGTGGATCAAACAATTAAGTAAAAATGGGGTTAAGTTAGGGTTTTTGATACCCTAATTTTGATTCTGAGAAAAAAATATATATTTTATCAGATAGCTCAGGAGTGAGTCTAACTGAAGAGGTCTCAACTGAGACTGTAATTGTTGATATTTACCCTGTGTAGGTTTGTTTACTTTTTTAATGCCAAGTGCAAAGGGCTTAATGATGTGTGAATTTTGATTTATACATTGCTAATTATAGTGTATCTGAAGTTACTTCATTACAATGCTCATTTCAACGGACTTGAATGCTTGATACTTAGGGCCTGTTTGGGAAGTGTTCCCATGTGTTTTGTAATGCTCCAGGCCTGCTACAGTAGCCCATGTGTTTTGTAATGCTCATTTATTTTGAGTTTTTTTGGGCTACAAAAGTAACTGTAGCGGAAGGAACAAAATAGCCAAACCCAGCACAAGTATAAAAGGAAAGTTGCGCAACACTCTAGGGTTTGTTCTGCGCTCTCCAAACGGCGATTTCGAAGGTGATTCCAGAGGCGATTCCCGTGCTGCAAATTGACAACGCTTTCCTACACAGTGCATAGCGTCGGGCTTCAAATCGGCCTTCTGTCACTCAGGTAAGTGAGCTCTCTCTTCATCACCTCTTTCTCCACTCTCGGATTCTCTTCTCTCTGTCCAGATTCTCCCCAAGCTAGTCTATTTCCTCATCTCTCTCATCTCGGTATGTAAATCCAAATTCGAGATGCAAACATAGTTTTGAACAATTACAGAGTTATGGGGTTTTACGATTTCTAAGTGTGTAATATTTTCAGGGATGAATTTGGTGAAGACAGTTGGTGTGGTCGCGCACCCAAAGCACAAAAAGTGTGTAGTGTGGCCAAGTTTAAATTTATAGAATGCCACAACCACTAGTAACTATATGTTGACCATAAGGATTTCATCCAAGGACAATCTATGTGTTTTGATGATAATAAACCATTAATGGTGTTTAAGGACTAATGTGTACATTGAGTGTTATAGATGATTTACATTCAAAGAAGAACCTCAATGAAGATCATAAAGATCATTCCAAGTATTTCATTACTCAAGATCACATCAATGAAAGAAATGGATACAAAGAAGACTTGAAGTTGCAAGGAAAGATAGCTTGGACTACAACGAGCAAGAAAGTAACTCTAAGAAAGGAACAAAGCATGACTACCTCAAAGCCTACACGATCATGGATAAAGCATGAAGAAAGGGGTAGATAGATCGGTGAGTGTTTAGGATTCATTGTCAAAGTATTTATGAATCCATTTGAAGCTCATCTCTATAGGATCATGCATATCATACATCATTCACATGCTCCTACATCCATTGGCAATAGACTGTGCACTTCATTCATATAATTGACACATGAAATCTTTGCTAAAAGAATGAGTTAGTTCAAACTTGCATAACCTTAGAAAGAACTCATCACTTGTGCTAGAAATGCTAAGACCATGCACATCAATCACATGATTCATATTGGTCAACGATTAAGGCATGAGAAGCCTTCATTACCATAAGTTGGTAACGGACTTTAGGACTCTTGTATGGGCATCATGAAAATTGTGTTTTTGGCTAAGTGTGAAAAATGGATTTTTGAAGAAAACATTTTTTCAAGATAATTTTTCCCGGTAATTACTCCTTAGACTTTAAATAGCCTAAACTAATTTTATAGGATTTTTTCATCAATTCTACATGAGCCTACATGAAGGATCAAGTTTTACCAAAACTGTCGGGAACCCCAATTTGTACTAAAACTGAATTTTTACGTTTTGATTTAGTTGGATTTCAATT